AACGGGTCATATTGGTCGTTGCGCGATGTGCCGAGGACCATGTGTTGCGGCAGTAACGGGCAATATGTCCAACGCGGTGGCAGTTGAAACATATAGGGCGGTCATCTGCAGTTCGCCACTCAGCCGGGTTGCGAGTACGTGGAGAAGACCGTCGGTCGGAGAAGGGCATCACGAAAGGGCGTTCGCTGACTCTAGGCGCGGTGACATGGCACACGGAATGCACTCCGATGTTTTCAAGCTCCCGGCGCACGATGGCTTGAACAAGAGGAACAGTAACAGGAGTGGCATCGGTACTGCGCGAATAGAACGCCGAGGGCGCCATAGCTTCCAGTTCACGACGAACAATGCGTGTAAGGTCTCCCGGCGGCGATGCACGTTGTGGTGTTGACTGGTCCTCGCAAGTAGATGTTGCAGCGGTGTTTGGGAGTCGAGCGAATGTTTGTAGAATGCGGCGACTTTTCACTTGCTCGAACTGACGACACTCTTTGATGATCGCGTCTACGGTGGAACAGCCCTTGCACATCAGGAGATTGAACGCGTCGTCGGCAATCCCTTTCAGAACATGTCCCACCTTGTCACCTTCTGTCATGTCGCTTTCGGCCTTTCGGCAGAGGGCCAGCACGTCTTGAATGTAAGCGAGGTATGACTCCGTAGGGGATTGGGCACGGCAGGCCAATTCCTTTTTGGCGGCGATCTTCCGACTGGCGGTTTTGCCAAACACCTCCCGCATCTTTGCTTTGCATTGGTCCCAGCTTGTGAGTTCTTCTTCATTGTTCTCATACCACACCTTGGCCGTGCCTCTCAAATAGAACAGCACATTAGCCAACTGAAGTGTGGGATCCCATCTGTTCGGCACACTCACTCGTTCAAACATGGCCAGCCAATCGTCAACGTCGACGCCATCGGTTCCGCAGAATGTACCGGGATCCTTGAGAGGCGTGAAAACGTACGGTTGCGACGCCATGTTCGTCGGAGACGCTGACGTTGACGCGGAGGGCTGAGCATTGGCCATGGCTGGAAGGGCGATGCGACGTCCGCTGCGGAGCTCCGTTGCCTGATGGTTACCCAGCACCTCTCACCAATATGTTACGAGGTTGGTTGCTTCTGAGCGAGATGTATTTGCAGAGTAAAAACTACAGGCAAGAGACACAATGGCTGATTGGCCCAGTCGCGCGCCTGTCAGTCGCACCTCTTCCTTTTCTTCCTCTCCGTAGCAATATGTTATCGAGGTAGCTCACTTGTTGATATTCTTTGTTAAATTTCTACCCTTTAGGCTGGTGCTCAGATGATGCAATGGTTGCACACTTTAAATGCGAAGAATTTCTATGCGAACTTCGAAGGCTTTTATCTATCTATCTATCTATCTATCTATCTATCTATCTATCTATCTATCTATCTATCTATCTGTCTGTCTGTCTGTCTGTCTGTCTGTCTGTCTGTCTGTCTGTCTGTCTGTCTGTCTGTCTGTCTGTCTGTCTGTCTGTCTGTCTATCTATCTATCTATCTATCTATCTAATCTCGCTGCGGCGGCGGCGTTTTCCATCTCTCTACCGACGACTTTCTGCTCTCCAAACCTATGACTAACTTGTCATGAACTTTTCATAAGGGCTTGGAGGAGCCCAAAAAATTACCCTCCGATAAAGGGACTGTATAGGTCCCAAAATGTAGAGGCAGCTTTTATTTTATTATTAAAAAATATAGACAGAAAGTGCATTGAGAGCTGCTTTTATTCAAATAGTTTTTGATCAGCCAGATGTATCCCTGTCAAATATGTCTGCCTTCAATACATTACTTGTGGTTTCTTTACTTTAGTGTACTGTATCTCACCTAAATCGAAAAGAATAAGAGTGGACAAAAAAAAACTTTCTTTCGGTGGAATCCAAGATCACAATATCAAATTACGAGTGCGTTCTTCACCTGCTTTAATTTCTTTCAAATTAAAATATGACAATTACACTGTAGTTAAGAAGCCACGAATAATGTCTCCTATGCTGTCCTTGTTTCAACAGTCTGTCGATTTCATTGGCTCTGTATAACACAAAAAACGATCTTGTCGGACTACTCCCTTTCTTTCAGATTTCCATCTGGTGTGTTCATAAAATGCTCTACATTTGAATGAAGCAAATGGGGAATTTTAGGGGCTCGTTTTTCGTTTGTCAAGCACAATATTCATTGGAGCTCACAATAAATACAAGCGAATTACATTACGTGTTATTAGAAGTAATTGTGACGTAAATGTGAATAATTATAAATCGGGCAAAAAGATGACTTGTCACTTGCAGGAACCGAACCTGCGATCTTCGAATAACGCGTCCGATGCTTTAAACAAATTGAGCAACAGCGGTGGTCATCCATCCTTTTGATCACATTTACGTCTGAAATACCCCAAACGACATTCCTTACAGTTTTCCTTGGCTTTCTTGCCCGTTAGTCCTGACGTATGTCTGAAAGGCCTCTTTATGAAAACACGTTCTCGGTTCTTGGCGGACTTGGCTAAGTGACGCATCTAACATTCCCTCGCAGCCGTTGTTGGGTCTCCGCCAGCTTTCATTCCCAAAAGCAGCCATTCGTCGCGAAAGCGGGAGTCACGCAATCCGCGAGTATATCACTCAAACGCGACACTCGATTGCGCCGTAGCCTCCAGACGTGCAAGCCATACAATCTCCCGATTGGCGGCACGAGCCAAACCATTGTTGCGTCGTTTGCACGACTACTTGAATATTCGTGCAGAACGAATACTCAAGCATGGAGGAAGCAATACTTGAGAAATAGCGTTGACACGGTCACGACCAGCTTTGAAAAAATGATTGCTCTGTCAAGCTCCCAGTGTCGGCTCAACACGTAGCCTTTGAACTGAATTGACATTAGTACAATTTCGCTCATGTATGCGAAGTTACACTTAAGAAAGAGAGGACGAAAGGCATTAACGTCTCGCTTGCTGCTCCTGCGTGAAACGACAATTTGCACACAAGCACTGGAGACATAGAGGGAAGTGACTTCGATTGGAAACATCAATAACAAAACACAAGTAAAAAATAAAAGTGCAAGTACTGTATTGATTGCTTCCACCAACTTAAAAGTATATACTGCAGAAAAACATAAACTTGCAGGCTTTGTATCACTGTTCTACACCCGCATATTATGCGCAAATAAAAATTTAATATACACGAGGCTTTGCACAATAGAGACGTGTTCGTATTGATTGCCATAAGTTTTAGTAAACTGTGAAAGAAGTAGCTACTTTTTTTTCCGCTATTAATTTTCGAGGCACATTGTTAATATTTCTCCGAATTTGTCACAGTTCAAGAGTGTCGTAATCTGGTAGTGGAGTGTTTGTGAATCCTGCTCATTACTGATACTGCTGTTTTAATAGCATATCGAAATCTTTGAGGTATGGTTCTGTAAGGTGAGTGAAACTGCAAGGACATTGTCAAGCAAGTGACATGTCTCAAGAGCCAACTGTAGGGTCTTTAACGTATTTATGTTTAGAATTCAATGTTTGTTCCTGTGTTATTCTATGCTCTTCTTATAAGCAATTTTACCAATGGCTTTAATAAACTTTTTTTTCTGTGAAACAAATAGGCAGTGATAGCTGTATTTTTTTACGCCAATGTCATGTAAAACGCGAGACTTGCCGCCACATTGGGTACTGGGGCCCGGTAGAGTTCAGTTAATGCGCGCTTCTGTGCTAAAACCTGGATACGGGGTGTGGGACACTTATGTCTCTACTCTGTATGTTTTCAATTCCACCATCTTGTCAGTCCAAAAGACTTCTTCATCTTCTCTGATTGGTTCAAAATTGCCGCCATTACAAAACCAGATGGAGTGAAACCGTTCCGCAATACCTAGATAAGCCCACTGAGTCCAGCAGGCCACGTTCTAGTGTTGGGTCAGAAATGAAATTAAGCAAAGCAAGGCAGGTAAGCCAACTGGCGCTCTATTCTAGAGCGGCCTTACCACACCGCGTTGCCGTATGGTTCGTGTCTAGACATGGCGCTTGTGACCTGTTTCCGGCCCCCCAAATTCTCTCTGGACATAGTGCACTTGGTAAACATGACAGCCTTCGATATAAGTGTCTGTTAGACGGCGCCATGGCTCAGAAAACCCTTCTTGTCGCTGCAGCGTGGCAATCGGGCACCTCCTGTTGCAGTTCACGAAATGCTAGAGACGCTGTTGCGCGCTTTTTAGAACCAAGTGATGGCGGCCTTTTGAGTCAACCACACAAACCGTAGCGGCCTGCTCGGCTACTGAAAGCTGGCAGTGTCAGTATACGGCACCTCTAAAACAAAAAAATTGGTGACCCTAATCTTTGGCTTGTGTGGTAGAGGCTCTCGCCGCTCGGCGTTTTTGTGCCCTCGTTTATTCCTCGTGTTAACTTTGTCACATTTTGCACTGCCGAAGTGGATCTCAGGGGCCTCATCAAAAGAAGCGCTTGGTTGAGATCTGCTCTGCCGGGTGCCGCGATGATCCCACTTACTCGCAAGAAGGGCGTGACCTCCTTTAATGAACACATGTAATTATTTTGTCCTAATTATACTAATATGTAATTAGTTATTGTTTTGGGTAAGTTCAATTAACACAATTTCGGAATATTGGGAAAGCCAGAAGTGAGTACTCGAATGGAAGTCCCTAAAAACAGAAGCAAGAGTGTCCCCGTTGCTCTTAACACCATTAAGAATAATAATACTTGCCGCATCTCTCGATAATAATTTAACCACGAAGAGGTTGGCTTTATATAATGAGGTAACATGCTCCCTGATGAATTAGCAAGGATTCTATGATTGGGTTTTTCGATGAATAAATAACAATGTACAAATTTGTTTCGCGATTTTTCAACTAAGATAGTACGTAAAATATTAGCTAACATTTTAATACACGAGTTTCAATTGTATGAATTAACTATATTCACTGATATTTTCTTGTTCTTTGTGATGCCACTTGAGCCTGACGGTAAAACGAATAGATACTGCATGTGTTCAAGATTTAGGCATCGTTCCTACCTTAATCATACGTATGGTTCGAACTTCGTTGGCGGGAATCGATATCACGCAGACGGCGGTGATGACCAGCAGGTTGAATGCCGCCGAGCCGACGATAGTTCCGGGGCCCAGGTCGCCCGCCACGAACCTACGTTAATAATGTATATGGTAAAGGTTCTGCACACCAACGTAGGTTAGACACTCCTGTTTTTCACGTTTTAGTGGCCAGTTCTGTGTACAAAATGAACTCATGGCGTACTTTTACTCTTCCAGTTAAGTATAAATCGAACTCAAAGCTCAGTACGCAACGAAGCAACATCATCAGTACTAATTAAAAAATGACCGCGTATCTGCGTGCATCGCTGCAAATGTCGTCGATAGACGATATTCTTTAGTCTGGGGGTGCTGCATGAGTCCTGGTCCTATCCGCAGCCACCCGTGATGCTGTTCTCGTACCATTTTCGTCTTGCCAGGTGGCAGCACTATATCACCAGCAGAGGGTTTTTTTTTTTTTTTGTGCAAAGCGTCGCATTTTCAGAGCAGTGGAAGAAGTTCTATAGAATTAGGAAACAGAAAAATAGATCACCACAAGTAATTATGAATACTAGGGTCTTTATATTTACGTGTTTATGTAATTTGTAGTAAAAAAAACACATCATCTAATACTTACTTATTGATGTTGCGCCTCAGGTATGCGTAATATTTTTTTTTTCGATCCACAATGTTTACAAGTATGAACGCAGCATTCGTTCAAGATGGCTGGGCATCCCTTTACATCACTGTTTCACTTGTCTTAAACTTCTGTGAAACTTGCAGCGGCGAGGATTGGTTCATATTTCGAGATATTTAGGCTGGTGCGCGCAAAAAAAAGGACAGGTACACAGAAAAGAAGTCTAAAACGTCTTTTGTGTACTCATGCGTTGTAAAACTACCTTGGACATAAACATGCATTGAGAAATGAAGAAAGCAGTTGATGGTCAGCGCTCGTGCACGTCGTTTCTTTCCTATGTGTGGCTTGTTTTGTGTTTGCGTTGTCAATTTTAGTTCCGGATTTTAGTCCAGGAATTTTACTCAAGGAAGGGGTGATTAGTACACCAACTGAGAAGAAAAAAAAAGATGGTTCTGGTCTTTCAGTCGGCCTAAGGTGCGATGCCATGTTCGTTAGTCCCTGTGCTTTCAGCGCCGTAGCTTCATCGAATGTACCTGACCAACTAGCTCAAACGTCTGTCCTGTTGTGTTCCTATATGAAGGGAGGGCAAATGGGGGCATGGGAGGAAGTTTTGTGAAAACTGCCACCCCTGCAGTATTTTTTCGCATATATAACTGGGACTATTGGCTATCGTCGCTTGTAGCAATGACAGCGCGCGTGGAACTCTTTTTTTTTTTTGCCGACTGGCGTGCCGTAGCACGTGACCTCGTTCTTTCTTTCATTTTTCACGAGCTCGTAGCAAATCAACCAACATACGCACACATGAAGAAATAGCAGAGAGGGAAAGTCAAGAAGATCAGCCACTTTTAGTCAGCCTGTTCGCTATTCTGTACACACGGGAACACAGTGGGAGATATTGTGGTATGAAGAGGAATGAGGGATAAAAATGGCACATGACACCACGCACTCACAGCGGGAAGTCCCGCGCAAGTGCCCCGCATGCCTAAAGAATTTTCAAAGGAAGTCGTACCCGCTGCCCACTATTTCGATGATGGCCAGCAGTATCTCGGGCGCGCTCGACCCGAGCGCCATGAGGGTCAGGTTGGCCACGGTCTCGTTCCACACCTTGACCTCTATGATGTCCGGCTGGCCGCCGGGCACCTGGGCCGACAGGGTCAGGCGTCGCGTCTTTGATGTGATGCGCTCGATGGCGCACATGAACACGTCCGCGATGATGGCGACGCCCAGGAAGCAGTAGATCAGCCCGAGCAGGTAGACGAACGAGCGACCGCCCCGCGACCAGCTGGACTCGTCCAGGAAGGGCAGCAGCAGTCCGTCGCTGCACGTGTAGTTGGAGCCGGAGTCCATGTCGCGGCAGCTACGTCCTTGTCAGGAGGAACAGGTGTCCAGTCGTTAGTCCGAGTGTGGTCGTGTCCTGCGTGAGGGTGGGAGGCGTGAGAAATTACTATACGGAAGGTTCCACAAGTGTCGGGACTGACATCTCACACCCACGGCGATTTCAAAACGGCCGCGTCTGGAGCATAGCACCATCTACAGTTAAAAGTTGATACAAAGATATACGATTGTACGAGGTGTCCGATCTAACGAAGAAATTTCGATTACCCGACAGGTACCCATGTATATGGCTCAATGTCATCAGCTACCCGAAATGACGAAAGAAGCTAGGCAGCAAACTCATATTAACGATGATTTCCGAATAATGAGCGAGTAAAGAAAGGGATAGCAGGCGTAGCTACAAAGCAGCGAGCTTCATTGAATGTCTCGAGGGCTGCAATGTATCTCTACCGTCGCATATAGCTCGCGGATTGTCATCCGTTTGTTTGCGACAGGGTGTGTTGTAGATGAAGGCCGGTGCCGGCGAGCAATCTTATTTATAGCTTGTTCCAGCTGGGCTTCGTGATAAGTAGATTTAGAGACACAAAGAACATTCTTTTTTTTTTCGATTTTACGGAGCCCTCTATCACGTCGTTGTTTCGAGACGTAGAGCACCACATGTTATTTTTATAGCTGTGCAAGACATGTCGAAAGGTCCCATTGAAGAGTAAATTGCCAATAAACTGAAACCGGAGACATAAAGGGAGGTTACATTGTAAAAGCGACCGACTTTGTTTTATGTGTATAGTGTTCGTAAAAGTTGCTCAAGTCGGAAACCCATAAAGTCGCCTGTACGAAGAAGCTACCCGTATACGGACTTCCCCTACTTGAACTTCCCCCAGTTTCCATAGTGAAACCGTTCCACTTTCGATGGCATTATCCGCTTACGCATGCCACTGCAGCAATACTCATGCCGCATAATTCACGCAACCAACGGCCTGACCTCGCTTTCTATACGCCCTCTAAAAAACAGCCGTTGCGTAATTCGACGCATCTCTTTGCAACGCAAGAGCAATCATTATTCTAATTTGTAGGCCTCTCCCTAATTTACTGCTACGCCCCCGCATTTATAGGTCACAAGTGGCTGGCCAGCCATGGCTTGTGCGACATCGTATCCTTGATATAAAAATGGCCACCACCGAGTTTTCCCCGCTGGAGGCTAGTATTGAACTATTAAAGCGTGTTTTCACCGCAGGAAGAAGTAGCGAACCACAATAGAAATAAATATACAGATGAATACTAGCAGACACAAATATAAATATTTCAGTAGCTTGTTGCCAATGGATAAAAAGGTTTCTTTTTTTTTTCGTTATCAGTGTTACTCTATACATATGTAGAGATAAACACGAACAAGTTTGAACAAGTTCTTTATATAAATAAGAGGATGCGGATGATGCCATTGTACAAGAGAGAGTGGTGCACAGTTTAACGGTTATATGAAATAAGTCAAATAATGACTCGAGGACCACATTCTGCTGATGCCATATCAATAAACACAAGCTACGCCCACAGTCCTTGCTATACCACCAAGGAATAATCTCCTTAAATGCTATATCCAATCGCAATCACTCATTTCGGTCACGTCAAACGACTGTCGCGTAATTGGGTTTGATGGTGACGATGACGACGACGACGATGATGATGATGATGATGATGATGACGTTATTTTACTATACAGACGCATATTCACGTATAGCCGATTTTCGGTCGAGAACTTGAACTTCCTTCCAAATTTTAGCAAACATTTCGTCGTTAGTCCTAGTTCAAACGTTTAAAAAGGGACGACAAACTTCTAGATCGCAATATACGTATTACTCAAATTAGCGACGAAAAAGTGCCAATGGTCTGAACAGATGCTGCTTCGCACGACTCTTTAAGCATGAATGAGTGGTGGACACGCCACAGTTCTCGGGTCGAACATTGTAGTTATTTTATGGGTATAACCACCTGCAGAGATTAGTAAACCGAAGCAAATGTTACTGATTACCTGTATACGAGAGGTGTTACGTGGCTCACATGGTGCAGATTGGTTAGATCGACACGCCCAGAGTCGCATAGCTCACTCACATTAATGCTGATTGACACGAAGTCAATCAGTCAGCTTATTTACCCTTCTATGCAGGAACAATGATGCTTACCACTGCGACGTGTAAAGCGGATAGGAGGCGCGGGAGTAAGCTGTAGATGGGCAACAAGACCTCTGCATTACTGCGAATGGACATACCCAGAGGAGATATATACTTGCGAGGGCACCCACTTGAATGAGATGACTTATGTGTGGATCGGTTTCCCACTCACGGCGCAATCCTCGACGTTAGAGGCCGATGACATTCGACGCCCAGCGACGCCAGTGAAATGGTACGGAAGGGGTTGCGAGGACAGATAACGGGTCTTTATCGAAGGCGTCCAAACACTCCGTGAGATACATGGTTACGTTTTTGATAAGGGAAAAATGTTTTCTTCAAAAATAAACTGCTAAATATGTCAGGCTTTTTTCAAATTAACGTTAACATAACGCGCTACCTATTAGTTATCGCCTAAGATGCATCAATAATTTTACATTAGAGCTGTATCGTGTATGGCTTGACGAAAGCCAATTGCGTCCGTCCTAATGTACGCAAAGGCTCCTACGTCGCCACGAAAATTGGGCAAGCGCCACCATTCACCGCCTGTGAAAGCCGTGCGCGGGTCGAAACATCTGTGACACAGAAACTGGGCAACTCTCAGTCCTCGTCCCTTAATAATGAACACAAGCGTGCACAGAGTTCCCGTTCAGGGGAGAGGAGGAGGGTGGGGTGAATGTTCGTCGCAGCACCCCTCTCCCCTGTCATGTTCATGCATGGGGCAGATTTTTGCATCCCCCCCCCCTCGTGAGTGACAAAGAGGGTCCCCCCCCCCCGCCCCCCCCCCCCGTCTGCCCCCTTCGTGCGTATGCGTGCGAGAATGAAGAAGGTTCGAAGGCAATTAGAAAGTTGCTTGTTCGGTGTCTGCCGGCGGCAAATTATCTTTTTGCTCACTTTACTTTTTTCGCATTCATATCACAATTACTACAAATAACATTTGCTATGCTTTGGTGGCAATTACTGGCTACTAGATCTCGACAATATTTGTATAACAAGGCGAAACCAGCCTTTCAATTCCCTGCTTTCCTAAAAAAAAAAGAAGACCGGAAAACACGGGCAGTAAACCTGCCAATATTTATGGCCATATGTAACCAATAATTGAAGAAGTCTTAGGTGAACCGTCGGGATTAACTCGGTGACAAACACCGGCGCAGCCTGCTTCAGCTTCGCCGGTTGGCTGGTGGTTTTGTTCTTGCATTTCAGCGCATATTGCAATCGACCAAATGTAGCCGGTGGACTCGATAGGCGTGTATCAGAGAGCTCGTTCACTGCAGTATACTCGACCAGGAACTTCGGCGTGGTATTGACTCTGAGGCATTGTGCTATCTTTCTGTAATCTGGAAACGTAAAAAAAAGATGCCTTTTTTGGCTATGAAACAACCTGGATACATACGATGTTCCTTCCGCGGCGTCACGGAGTAAAACGGAGTGATAAGGCAGGAGGTCGGATGTTCTTTGTAATCTGGGGCGGCTCGCCGTCACTAACACGGTTGCGAAATAAGCTGTCCCACTGTTATATGTATGATTTCATACATGTATTTCATATGTGTGATTTGTCATATGTAAGCCCCGACGTATTGCTTCATCTAGGAGTCCTACTTGCCTTGGTTTTTTCCGTGCTTTCGTGCTCTCTGGTACGTCACACTTCTCCCAGCTGCAGAAAGTATTCGGCTGGGTGCACCTCGTGTTCATAAGGTCGCCATCGTACGTAGGAGTGCGTGCAGGGTAGACAGAGCAGGAGGGTAGTAGCACCCCTCCGAATCATAAGGGGAGGGGATGCACCAAGTCCTTCCCGTACCTTTACTCCATAGGAGCCGCCACGTCAATGTTGAATGCGCAAGACTACGGCCACACATGTCATTGCCACTAATGGCATCCGAGGGATCCTGATGTCGTGTTCCAAGAACTGTGTACTTCCCACCTGCACCGTCAGGAAGCCTGGTACTGAAGGCAGGTTGTCGTGCAAAGCAGGTGGTTGCCTCACTTGTCACCTCTACATTCATTTCAGAGCTGCTTATTCTTTTCGACCAATGGAGAAGGCAGCCACATATGCGTGGACATAATTGTCCTGGTGAATAATCCTGCGCACGCATATGGTGGGCCCCGTATTTTAACATCACGTGGGGCCCTATAGGGTTGAAGCATCTGTCTGAAGAGCTCGCGAAACTGTCTTTAGAGATTCGTTTCAGCGCACACGGCTGGCCTCCCCCCCCCCCCCCCCCCCCACCACCACCAACATCTTTCCCTGCCCCTCATGCGCGCGCCTATGTGGCACTTTCGCTCACTATACACCATGCTGCGATCCAACTTGAAGCCTCTCAAAGTTTGACACCAGAATCAGGTACATACACTCTAAAAAATATCGAGTAAAAAGGGTGTCTTTTTGTCCCAGTCTCCCAGAACAATAATCGTCATCAGGCTTGCATGCGCTTCCTTTCTTGAAAACTCGGCGCTGGCCACTTTCCTATCGAGAATGCAATGTAACCCTAATAATGGGCATGGCGATCGTGACCGGAATGTACCGGGCGCGGGGCGATAGCGCAAGGATGGAACGCAATATAGATGACGATTATTGTTGTGGGACAAAAAGACACCCTTTTTACTCGCTCTTTTATACTGCCTTCGGGACCGCTGCCCGGACCAGGCCCGTAGCCAGGAATATTGTAAGGGAGGGGGGGGGGGAGAACTTTTTGAAGACATTGAAAAACCTTCATTTTCTCTAATTATTATAGGTAAAACACTCCCCTTGTTCCGAACTCAACTTCCAGGAGGGGGGGGGGGGGGCTCTAGCCTTTTCCTCTCCCCCTGGCTTCGTACCTGACGGAGAAAAGAAGGCAGCCCACGTGACTATGAATAAACCGATATAGCACGCAGTTTCGCGCCATGATGGCCCATCGACATGGATCGCCCCCTAGCG